CGTGCGTGCGTGCACACTTTCAATCACCTGTTGACTTATGGTGATCCCACAAATTTCATAAGGTTTTCTTGGGCAACGAATACTCAGAGGCATTTTTGCCAGTTCCTCCCTGAAATACAAAATGCTTTGAAGGCCAGGAAAACAGGTTGAAAAAGTTATTGCTTTGGACTACAGATCCCAAAATCAAACTGTAAACAGTATGGGCACCAACGGTGGTGGCTGATGGATTCTCAGAGTTGTAGTTCCAGAAAACCTGGGACTACTGTCTCTGGAATATGGCTCTCATAATCCCCAGCAATCAAGTTTATTATGGGATTTTGAAAGTCAGGCAGGGAAACTGCTCATCCATGAGAAAGCAATGTGTGATTAAAATAGTCCATTGTCAAGAACACCTAGGCCTTATCACACTATATAATTATAGCACTATGACTCCACTTTAACTGCCATAACAACATACAATAGAACCCTGGGGTTTATAGTTTGGTGAGAATCTAGAGTTCTTTGGCTGGGGATTCTAAATACCCCTCCCTAAACCATCCCAGGTTTCATAGGATGTTGCCGTGAAATTAAAAGGGGATCGTAGTGTTATAGGTCTGCACACAGAATCCATTTGTTATACATAGCATGACAAATGGTAAATATTTCCCAAACAAACACAACGTTCCCACGCAGCTCATAAGATATTTCTTAGAGAAATGCACCTGGGACTGTACTAAAACTGGAAAGACAGGACAGAATGGATGGGGAGGGGGCGATGGTCACATAGGCTGTTCCAGCCCCATCCACATAATTGAAAATCAAGCCTAGTCAAGGTTCCTCTGCTGTTCTATCCAATCTACTGTTCTTTTTCCAAATCTACATACTTGTACTATCCCAGAACTAAGCACTGAGCACAGGTTAAATGCAGCCCAGTAGCTCCATCAAGTGGAGAGGAATGCACTTGCTTTGTACTTGTATTAGCAGCAAATGTCAGCTTGCAAATAGGTACTTAGAGGGCAGAGTAAGGGCCTTTGCAGACTGCCAGAAATAGTGCAAATTGAGTCCACTTTAACTACCCTGACTCAGTGCTAGGGAATCATGGGAACTGTAGTTTATTGTGGCACCAGAGCTCTCTGACAGAGAGGCTCAATGTCTCTGAAAAAAATACAGTTCCCATGATTCCCTAGCACTGAGCCAGGACAGTTAAAGTGGAGTCAATTTGCACTATTTCTAGCAGTCTGCAAAAGCCCTATGTGACAACGTATATGTGTATGTGTCTATTTTGTTGTTGTTGTGTGCCTTCAAGTTGTTTCCAACTTATGGCAGCCCTAAAGTTAGAATCATCCTAGCCATTGTATTTCCCATTCCTATGTATGGATGTGAGAGCAGGAAGCAGATAGGAAGAAAATTAATTCATCTGAGATGTGAACTCTCCCTGAAAGCCAGGATGATGAAATTGAGGTTGTCATACTTTGGCCACAACATGAGAAAGTGTAACTCATTGGAAAAGATAATGATGCTAGGGAAGGTAGAGGGAAGTAGGAGAGGAAAACAGAATGGCAAGATGCAATTAGGGAAGTCACTGGCATGAATCTACAAGACTTAAACAGAGTAGTGGAGGATAGCGGCGCTTGGAGACATCTCATTCACAGGGTTGCCATGAGTCAAGATAGACTCAAAGGCAGCAAACAACAATGGCAAACCTATCATAGGGTTTTCTTGACAACATTTATTCAGAGGAGGTTTGCCATTGCTTTCCCTCTGAGGCTGAGAGCATGTGACTTGCCCAAGGTCACCCAGTAGGTTTCATGGCCAAGCCGATATTCAAACCCTGGTCTCCAGAGTCATAGTCCAACATTCATACCACTACACTACACCATACTAGAACAAAAAGGCCGAAAGAAGTAGCCCCATGGGATGTAATGTTCCAAATCTTATTGGTAGTACCAAGTAAGCAAAATGAATCAAGAGGAATTAAAGAGATTTACAGCATTGCACAGCAATACTGATAATGTAAAGCTGCTGGCAATGTGTCTGTCTTCAAGAAGGGCAGGACAGGAACAAAGGCTATGGCCACATTACGGAAATGAAGCCATTTGACACCACTTTAACTGTCATTGCTACATCCTGTGGGATCCTGGGATTTGTAGGTAGGTGAGGTATTAGATGTAGTTAGGTGGTCTATCAGAAAGGTGTGGTGCCTCACCAAACTACAAATCCCAGGATTCCATAGGATGGAGCCACAATAGTTAAAATCTGTCTGCATTCTTCTTTTGTTATGTCCCTGGCTTCAGATCATAGTTCCTCTGGTTCTCAGTCTATTATACTTAGTAGTGCGAATCTGTTTTGTATGTTATCAGTAAATTCTGTTGAGATATTATTTAGATCATATTTTGGTATTATCACTGGTTTTGTTTTCTTCTTGAGCCTTGCTCTTATTTTTGTTATGAGTAATTCATGATCTATGCTAAAGTCAGTGCCTGGTCTAGTCTTGGCCACCAGTATAGAGTTCCACCATCTTTTACTTCTGATTATATTTGATTTTTGTGTTGACCATCTGGTGATATCCATGTGTGTAGGCTTCTTTCTGGTTGTATGAAAAATGCAATGAATAGGTTGTTGGCTTCACAAAAGTATACCAGATGCTCACCTGCTTTGTTTCTTTTGCCTAATACAAATCTGCTTACTGTTTTTGATGACTTTTGCATTCCAGTCTCCAATGATCATCTTGACATCCTGTGTTGGTGTGCTGTCAATTTCTTCCTATAATTTTTCATAGAATCTATCAATTTATTCCAGCTCTGCCTCTATGGTTGGTGCATATACTTGAATTATGGTGATATTCATA